TGCTTGATAAGTTTTGGGCCAGTTAAGTTAAAACTTTAATACTATATGTAATTTTAAATAGAGAATAACTTTTATTAGGATAAGGAGATAGATTATCTTAATAAATTATTGTAAAAATAAATTTTTTAGTTATGCAGATTTAGATAAGTTTTGGTACAAGTGATAAACAGGAAAGAGTTTTTCTGGTTTATTAAAGTTTTTCAATTTATTTAACATAACAAACACAATATACTACTATATTTGTAGTAATCTGCTTTTTTGCTAAGCTGGCAAAAAAATGGCAGCAGATTCTCGATTTTGATTAGCTAATGGCCAAAAATCTTTAAAATTTTGGTCCGCATTACAAAATTGTTTACTAAATTATGGCTGAAATTAACTTTCTAATTTTTTTATTACAAAAATAGAAATTTTTAAAAAATAAGTATATATTATTGTAAATTGACCCAGAAACAATTTTTACTTAATAGGCAGTTGCGATTTCATTAGAAAATTATGAGAATTCTGACTTAATTTTTTTAGTCAATCAAAATTAAGAATCTGCTACGCATTTTTTGTGCAGCATAATGGATTATTGTCACAAAAAACTCCAATTTTGATTGGCTATACTGTGTAAAAAACATGTAGTGATCTTTGATATTTTTTATATCTTCTAGTGATAATTTCTCAACACCTATCTGATTAACATTAATAAAATTTTTTATTTTAATTCTACAAGTATGTAAATTAAAAAAAAATTTATTGAGTTCAACCTGGTAGTTATTGAGAAAATTTCAATCAAAGTTTTAAAAAAGCATTGAAAATTTTGAAAATCAAAAATAGCTACAATTATGATTGTTTAGTGTTTAAACGAAAATATCTCGATAACTGCTAAGTCAAATTCGATGAAATTTTTTTTATTTTACTTCTAACTATATGTAGAATTAAAATAAAAAAAATTTATTCCATATGGTTGTTGAGAAATAATTAAGTATATTATTAACATATGTATTTGTAACTTTAATTGTTAACTTTAAATAAACATTTCTCAATAATTACTTTATCAAATTTAATAAGCATTTTTTTATTATATTTCTACAATCCTGTAGATAAAAAAAAAATATATTGAATATAGTTTAGTAAATATTGAGAAATTTTCATTTAAACATTAAAAAAGTTATATTTGTTAAAAAAATCTGCAATTGTATATTTATATTGTAAACAAGAATTTCTCAATACTACTAAACCAAATTCGATGAAAATTTTTTTACTTTAATTCTACTAAACTATAAAATTAAAATAAAAAAAATTTATCTAATTTTATAAAGTAATTTTTGTAAAATATTTATTTAAAATTCAACAATTAAAGTTACAACTTATACGTTCGAATTTTTTAATAATATAATCAATTATTTCTCAACAACCACATGGCCAAACTCAAAAAAATTTTTCATTTTAATTCTACATGTACCATATAAGTGCATAATAACATATATAGGTGTTATTTCAAAATTTTGATTTTTTTAAAAAATGCTATATTTGACTCAAAATAGTGTTCATGCGTGTCTCAAAATAACATGCCCCTCTATATGTACCATATTATCATTCAAGAAAGTAGTTGAAAATTTTTTCAAAATTAGCATAATAGAAGGTTTCAAAGTTAAAATGCAGAAATCTAATTTTAATTGAAATTTGTAACATATTTATTTTGAAATAAATGATCATGCAATCCGATCTTATTTTCATTTAAATTTCGAATACACTTATTTGTATTATTAATTATTTTTATCTTTTATAACTTACATAATTATTGTTTTTTTATTCAATATGTCTAAAATTTCATCCTGAAACCAGCAAATTAAAAGTATTGACAGTATGTTAGAACTACTTTTAAATGAATACAATACAAGCTTAAATAAAACTAAGGCTACCAATCAACTTGAAAAAGAAATTGATAAACTCTTTGAATTATTGCAAGTTATAGAGCTAGATAGATATCATATCTTAATTTACAAACTCTTTTGCTTAATTATAATGATTATAATTTTAAGCAAATTACTAGAGTAAGTAAGGAGACATTCTAGTATATAGAAGGTCTTATTCATAATGATCCTGGCTTTTCAAACAAATCTAAAACTTTACAAAGACCAGTTTGGCAACAATTAGCTTTTACATTAAAACAGTTAAATTGTAATGGAAATGGTGCTTCTGTTGAAAAATTTGCAAGACAATGGGGTTTAGAAATTGGTACTGTAATTAAATATACAAAACAAGTTATAGTAGCTATTAATTCAATCGATGATAATTATGTTCAATGGTTTAATTTTTTTGAAAGACAACAAATTAGTAATCGAATAGAACAATTATCAGAATTTAAAGGATGTATTGGATTTTTAAATGATACTAATGTTGTACTCAAATACAAACCTTCAGTAGATGGTGAAATATATTAAAATAGAAAGAAACAATATGCTTTAACAGTGCAATTAGTTTGTGATAATTTAAAATATATTTGATTTACAAACTTTGGATAGCCAGGATCAGTTACAAATTCAACAGCATACTAATCTACTTCACTGTTTAATAATGCAAATAAATTTTTTAGTAAAGATAAATATTTACTTGCAGATTGTGGTTATCAACTTACTCCAACTACAATTGTTCTTTATAAACAGCCACAAGCTAGTATTTTTGAAAATGTTTTTTTAATGAAATAATTGCTAAAGAACGTGTCAAAATTAAACATGTTAATGGAATTTTAAAGGGAAGGTTTGGGTATTTGAATGGTATAAGAACTCAAATTATATCAAAAAAAATTTAAAATTTGTTTTAGATATTATAAAGACAACAATTATTCTTTATAATTTAGCATTAAATAACAATGATATTTGGGAAGAAACTTTAATTAAAACTAATTTAAATTTAATAAATCCTGATAGTTTAATGGATAAAAATTTAAATAAGGCTGGAAAAAAAATGTGAAAGCATATACAAAATATTGTTCTTCAAAAAACAATTATTTAAATAAATAGATTTAACTAGATATTTTATTTATTTGTTTATTGTGCTATATATATACATACTCTATAATATATTAAATATATAATTTAATACAACATATATTATAAATCATTAAAAAAATTAAATATTTCTTTAATTTCTATTAAATATATAATTTAATACAATATATATTATAAATCATTATATTTCTTTAATTTCTATTAAAGATTTTTCTTGACGTATAAGTTCTAATAAAAGATTATTTTGTTGATCTTTTTTATTTCTATTTCAGCCTTTTCTTTTTCCTATTCAAGTCTTTTTTCTTCAGAATTTTTTGTATTTTTATTTTTAGATGATGATAATAAATGTTGCCATTTTGATGAAGTGTCTTCAGAATTGTATTTTCTTTTATTACAATTAGAGCTCAATTCATTTGATTCTTTATTATAATAAAAATTATTTTAGTATAAATAATTTAATTACAATATTTATTTAAAATAATTATATTTAACAAATTACCAGCTAATAAATCTTCATCATCATTATTAAGATTATCTTCATATAAATTATTATTTTTAGCATTATTATTATTAAAGTTATTATCATATAACTCATTATTACTAGCAATATCTTTTAAATAAAATTTATTAATTAAATAAATTATATAAATACATATACAATAATATTTATAATAAAAATTGTCGCAGATTATCGTGAAATCAGATCATCGTGAAATTTGGGGTCTTAATTTGAAAATATAAGCCTTACCAAAATCCACCTATACTCTTTTATTAATAATTCTAACTCTAAACCCTAACTTAACTATAAAAAAAAAGCTTACAAAAAAGGCCCCAAAAAAATTTAAAAATCGTATATAAAATAAATCTAAATTTCACGATGATCCAATTTCACGATAATCTGTGACAAAAATTAATAGAATTATTACTTGATAAATTATCATCAGATTCATCTTCTAAATAAATATTATCTAATGTAAATGATAATGTGGTTTTTTCATTTTGACTATATATACTATCTAATTCATCTTTACTTTGTTCTTGATTATTATTGAATTCTATAAATTATAAGATTATATATTTACTAATAATAATTTAAATTAATTATAAAAATGATTTTATATTTACCATTTAAAGTTTTATTTGCACTATCTTCATTATTTAATCTGAAAAGTAGGTTGAACATTTTGCTTTTCACTATAAATAACATCAATATGGGCTTAATTCTTCTAACTTAACTTCTATAGTTGTAATACCCTTTTTATGATCATTTTCAGTTAATTCCCACCCAGATTTATTAACTAGCTTTCGAGTTTCTATATATAGTTTTTTATAAGTAGCCCAACAGCCAGTTGCTGTTTTAGCATTTTATTGACTATTTTTACACTGTTTGTTTACAAATAAAGCTATTTGTATAAATCTAGCATTTTTGGTTACAGGCTTGCCACCAACAGGAGTACCAGCTGCTGCCTTTCCATCAATAATATCACAATTTTGTGGATTTTCTACAAAAATAACCATGGCAAGCTTTTGTTCTTTGTTAGTTTGTTTAAAAGTTCTTTTTGGAGGCATTATTATTATTATTAAATAATTGATCAGTTAAAATAATAGAATAATTTAAAAAGAAATAAATACTTTAAAGAATTTGAGCGAAAGCTTTTATTATTATTATTAAATAATTAATTGTTTAAAAATAATAGAATAATTTAAAAAGAAATAAAGTACTTTAAAGGGGGTGTGGCGGCTTAGTGAAGTGGTCAAGTCGTTACCCTCTCCAAGTAGCAGGTCTAGGGTTCAAATCCCACGGACGA